AGTTGATCACGAGATGATGTGTTACGGAACGAGTAAAGTGACTTTCCGGTAACGAGATTGAACAAGGTATTGGATACCGACGATCGAATCTCGGGCAAGTAACATACCGATAGACAAAGGGAATTGAATACGGGATTGATAAAGTCCTTGACATCATGGTTCATCCGATGAGATCATCGTGGAACATGTGGGAGCCATCATGGGTATCCAGATCCCGCTGTTGGTTATTGACCGGAGAACGTCTCGGTCATGTCTGCATGTCTCCCGAACCCGTAGGGTCTACACACTTAAGGTTCGATGACGCTAGGGTTATAAAGGAAGCTTGTATGTGGTTACCGAATGTTGTTCGGAGACCCGGATGAGATCCCGGACGTCACGAGGAGTTCCGGAATGGTCCGGAGGTAAAGATTTATATATAGGAAGTCCCGTTTCGGCCATCGGGACAAGTTTCGGGGTCATCGGTATTGTACCGGGACCACCGGAAGGGTCCCGGGGGCCCACCGGGTGGGGCCACCTGCCCCGGGGGGCCACATGGGCTGTAGGGGGTGCTCCTTGGCCTACATGGGCCAAGGGCACCAGCCCCTAGAGGCCCATGCGCCAAGATATAGGAAAAAGGGGAGAGTCCTAAAGGGGGAAGGCACCTCCGAGGTGCCTTGGGGAGGATGGACTCCTCCCCCCCTCTTAGCCGCACCCCTTCCTTGGAGGAAGGGGCAAGGCTGCGCCTCCCCCCTCTCCCCTGCCCCTATATATAGTGGAGGGGAGGGAGGGCATCCATACCTGAGCCCTTGGCGCCTCCCTCCCTCCCGTGACACCTCCTCCTCTCCCGTAGGTGCTTGGCGAAGCCCTGCAGGATTGCCACGCTCCTCCATCACCACCACGCCGTTGTGCTGCTGCTGGATGGAGTCTTCCTCAACCTCTCCCTCTCTCCTTGCTGGAACAAGGCGTGGGAGACATCGTCGAGCTGTACGTGTGTTGAACGCGGAGGTGCCGTCCGTTCGGCACTAGGATCATCGGTGATCTGAATCACGACGAGTACGACTCCATCAACCCCGTTCACTTGAACGCTTCCGCTTAGCGATCTACAATGGTATGTAGATGCACTCCCTTTCTACTCGTTGCTGGTCTCTCCATAGATAGATCTTGGTGTTACGTAGGAAAATTTTTGAATTTCTGCTACGTTCCCCAACAACCATCACCAAGGTTTGTTCCTCTCTCGATATTATTACAGAGGCATTGAATGACAAATATTTGGGATTGCCGGCTACAGTTGGGCTTGATAAAAGTGAGAGTTTCGAGTATGTGATTGACCGGTTAGTGCTGAGACTTAATGGTTGGAAGGAAAGATGTCTACCTTAAGGAGGCAGAGAGATCCTAATTAAATCAGTAGCACAAGTTATACCAACTTACGCGATGATCGTTTTTAAAATTCCCAAAAACTTGCAAAGGAATCACAGACGCGATATCTCGTTTTTGGTGGGGCGATGATGTAACTCACAAGAGGATGCACTGCTTTGCATGGTGGAAGATGTGCATACCAGATAAGAAAGGTGGCATGGGTTTTAGAGATATACGTTGCTTTAACCTTGCATTATTGGCTAAACAAGCTTGTCATCTCATTGATAACCCAGATTCCCAATGTGCATAGATCTTGAAGGAGAAATATTACCGAGATGGTGATCTTATGTGTGCAACGTTGAAAAAGAAAGCTTCATATACTTGGCAAAGTATTATGGCTGGTGTTGAAACCTTGAAACTTGGGCATATATGGAGAGTAGGGGATGGGTAGAAAATCAATATTTGGGAGGATGATTGGATCCCACAATCTCCATCAAGGAAGGTGATTACAACTAGATTAACAACATGCTGACTCGTGTGAGTGATCTTATAGACCCTGCATTAGGCGATTGGGATGAACTACTGGTGAGGCAAATGTTTTGGGAGATGGATGTCCAACGGATCCTTGCAATACCCCTTCCCTTGCATGAAATGAGAGATTTCCTGGTGTGGAATTGTACAAAATCAGGGACTTTGCAGTGCGCTCGGCCTATCATTTTTTATGGCAATCCTAGTTTGGCCACAAGTTATAGAATTCTGGGACTCGATTTGGAGCCTATGGTGTCCAACTAAGACTTTTTTATCTGGAGGGGGCTATATAGCGCGATCCCGTGCCGATCAGTACTAGCCAACAAGCATCTCAAAATCAATGTGTGTTGTCCTACTTGCAAACTAGGTCTTGATACGATCAAGCATCTGTTGTTCGAGAGCAAGCTTGCGTCGGACGTGTGGAAGTTGCTTGGCATCGAGGATATTATCAAAAGGGCGATATGTGTGGACAGGGTTGGTGAGGCTATAGTAGAGCATTTTTTGTGTATAATGGAGCATGATATTCATATATTAGGTCTGCCCAAGCTGAGAGAAACATTGGCAAACCCAGCTTGGTATTTTTGGTATGAACTTAGAAAATTGACCCATGGAGAAGAAACTCAAAGTGCAGTCCAAATAAATTTGGCGGTGAGAGGAGGCAAAATTCATTATCTCATGCAGTCCGAAACCAATGCGGAGAGTGGCTGGTTGGGTAAAGCCAAGATACGGTTATGTGAAACTAAACGTTGATGTTGGGTTGGATCTAGATACACTTGAGGGATCGGTTGGCTCAGTGTTGCGGGATCACAACTGGAAGTTCATTGCTGTTGCAAATGCATAAATTGATATATGCTTTGATTCTTTCACATGAGAGGCTATCATGGTTACATTTGGCATGAATCTTGCGTTGGATGTTTGTAAGTGTTTTGCATCTAGGATATTATCAGAAAGGTGCTCGATGTGGATAAGACCGGTGAGGCTATAATAGAGCACTTGTTGTGTATGAAGGAGCATGAGTTCATATATTAGGTCTACCCAAGTTGAGAGAAACAGCGGCAACCGCAGCTTGGTATTTGTGATATGAGCGTCGAAAATTTACCCATGGAGAAGAACCTCAAAGTGCAACCCAAATAGATTTGATACTGAGAGGACTTGCGACAAATTTCATAATCTCATGCAGTCCGAAACCAATGCGGAGAGTTGGTGGTTGGGTGAATCCAAGATACGTTTATGTGAAACTAAATGTTGGTGCTGGGTTGGATATGAATACACTTGAGGGATCAATTGGCGCAGTGCTCCAGTATCATAATTAGAAGTTCATTGGTGTCGCAAATGCAGAAATTGATATATGCTTTTGATTCTTTCACGTGAGAGGCTATCATGGTTACATTTGGCATGAATCTTGCGTGGGATGTTTGTAAGTTGCTTGGCATCTAGGATATTATCAAAAAGGTGCTAGATGTGGACAAGACCGGTGAGGCTATAATAGAGCACTCGCTGTGTATGAAGAAGCATGAGTTCATATATTAGGTCTACCTAAGTTGAGAGAAACAGCGGCAACCACATCTTGGTATTTGTGATATAAGCATCAAAAATTTACCAATGAAGAAGAACCTCAAAGTGCAACCCAAGTAGATTAGATAGTGAGAGGACTTGCGACAAATTTCATAATTTTATGCAGTCCGAAACCAATGCGGAGAGTTGGTGGTTGGGTGAATCCAAGTTACGATTATGTGAAACTAAATGTTGGTGCCGGGTTGGATATGAATACACTCGAGGGATCAATTGATATAGTGCTCCAGTATCACAATTGGAAGTTCATTAGTGCTGCAAATGCAGAAATTGATATATGCTTTGATTCTTTCACGACAGAGGATACCGCCAGTTAGATTTGGCATGAATCTAGCTCGTACAAGGGATGCAGTAAGACTGAGATCAATTCTGACAGCGTGGAGGGGTTTAAAAAAATTAGATGGCAGCTCTTCTTCAATTGCTAGTGTCATCTTTGATGATTGCTAGTTCACGTCCTTGAATTTTAATCATGTAATCCATAATCACGGTATCAAAGAGAGTAACTAGGCAGCTCACGGGTTAGCTAGGATAGCTGAGTTTTCTCCTCCTAAATTAGGGATAGATTTTACCTCTAGTGCAATCATCCCAATACTTGTAAGCGATATTACTCTTCTAACACATGAATAAAGGAGGAGATGATGGTAAAAACAACAACAGCAGCAGCAACAACAGCCACACGAGATCCCTCACCTGACACCAGCAGACACAGCTGAGCCACAGAGAATCCCCTCCAATCTCTCCCCCATCTTCCCCGACCCCAAGAACCCATCTCCCATCAGTCCACCATCACTCTTCTTCCTCCCCCTTCTCCATCCATGCCCCTGCCCCTCCCCTACCTCTCCGCCCTCCTCACCCCGCCCCCCTCCCCTCTCATGCTCCTGCGTCTGCCCCCCTGCCTCCTCTCCTCCTCGTCCTGCTCCGCTCCTCTCC